TTATTCACTATTAATGTTCTTAATTTTCAAAAAAATCAGTTGGAATCCCGGTTTCAGAAGCATTAGAGATGACCGGATAAGAGACCTAAGGTATGGGTAAGATGGAAGGACCCCATTACAGGGCAATGGAAGAGACCAGATCCATTGCTAACCATGGGTCAAGGCTTTGGGTGTGTCTACCCTACAGGAGATTCAAACCCCATATAGGTGCCTGCGAAAAACCTTAAGTGGGTAGGCCAGGATCTGACTGACTAGCATGACAGTCCATGGACAATAGTTCATGAGACAAAATTCCTCTCTTTATTTATATCCATCTGAGGTGAAGGACCCAGTTCCTTGGCTTCACTGCCAGTCAGCCTCTCTGACAACTGGCTGATTGGCTCAAAGGTACATGGTCTCAGAAGTATTTCAACCTGTCCTGTGCCATGACTTGCTTTGTTTCGCTTGATAAAGCTTATCTTTAGGTGTCTTTACCAGCTAATTCGGTGACAGATGACCCTTGGCACTGCCACAGCCCACCTCCTCATGATTACGGACTTCCCCAGGACCCCCTCCGGTTGCCCACGCTTGGCTAACTGAGTTAGGCAGAGACTAAGACTGTCATGGGCTGGCGTTACCCACATGGCTGCCCTTAATCATGACACATTTTTAGCCAAAGATGGGTAAGATGTCCCATGACAAGTTCTCCTAAGACAGGACATGCACATGGCCAGGTGCATGATCCAATGATGGGCAAGGATTGATCAGAGGTGACACAACCTAAGACAGGCAAAAATGCATAAGATTAGAGGAAGGAGATAGCCATCTCTCCTCAGGGAGCTTCCTATGAGGTGGGTAACCCGTGAAATAAAGTCAGTCTGGCCTTAAAATAAAAATAAAAAGAGGGATATGTGGGGACCTAAAGGCCCCACCTTGCATAGGTCTGAAAGGAAGTTTACTGGGGGCACAGCCTAGCTTGCTTTGAAAGTCTGAAGAATACTTCCGCACTGCTGAGGAGTGCATGATCAGCACGTGACCATCCTTAAGATACACCCTCGGCAGGGAAGGGGGATTTCCAGGTGCCTTTATAAGCTTTGTAACACCTGCAATAAATGAGTCCCTGCCTGACTAGACTCCCCGTTGCATCTGAGCATCCCCGAGTATTGGGGGTGGCGTGGGCTGGTGAACGGCGTGCTTACTCATCCCCAATCATCACCTCCCTGGGGGTCGCTGGTTTGAAGCCCCCGGCATTTCACTGTATGAAATTGATCTGGATGGGTAAAATATAGAGGTAACTTATAATTTTAGTTATTTTGGCAGAATAAATAATAATGTCTTGTGATAAACATGAGTATGGCATAATATGTAACCACAAACTATTCTACAGTGACCCCACCACCCTTTGGTGCTAACTAAACCACGGGAATGGATGAAATCGCAATTCATTTTAAAACACCTGTATCAAGTCTTTTGCCTGGCATTTACAACACTCTAAAATGCTACCAGCTCCGATTCTGGTCACTAGTTCAGTTAGCTCTGCCCTCTGTTATGGACTGAACCATGCCATCTCTGCACATTCTAATCTTCATTACCTTGGAATGTGAGTGTACTGAAAACAGCCCATAAAGATGTAATTAAGGTCAAATGAGGTCATATGGGTGAATCATGGTCTCAAATTACTGGTGTCTCTTAAGAGCTAGTACACAGTTAAATGTCTTCAAAACCATGTGAGGACACTTGAAGACAACCATTTAGCAGCCAAGAAGACAGGTCCTCAGAAGAAACCATCACTGTCAACACTTTGATCTTGAACATCTAGCCTCAACTGTGAGAACTAGTTTAGTCATCTAGCCTGTAAACTTTGCAAATGCAAACTACTTGTCTTTGTACCTGTAACTCTCTTCACCAAAAATGTCTCTTCCTTTTAATTTTATCTATCCAATCTACATGTCATTCAACATGAAACTCAAATTGGCCACTTAACGAAGCTATCTCACACACCCCTCAACATTTTTCTTCTGAACTAGAAGTTACAGTTTGTAAAACAGATTTTAACATTTCCATGTAACTGTAAGGATGTCATTTATAGGTCAAAGTGCTTCAAACAGTACTTATTTTGTACTTGTGTCTGTGAATTCTGTTGTTACTATTGCTATTTCCTAAATCTATTTTTTCTAATCAAATAATTTTTCCTAATGGAACGGGATTTGCATTTTCATTTTTGCAGGTGATAAGGCACTGATAAAACTTCATGTGGTGGATAAATCATCTAGGACATGCAAGGAGGGAGCTAAATCTGGTGGTAGTTTGGTAGACAAAAATGTCAGGGTTTGTTTTTCCCCTTAAACCTTTTACAAAAGTTCTGGTAGAGGAGAGCATGTGAGAACAGCTGTAGGAGTGAAAACATATGGGTGAGTCCTAGACATATTTAGAAATAAAATATACCAGAACTGCTGCTTAGTTGTGGGGATAGGGAAGGATAATAGGTCTCAGGTTTGGCAACCAGGTATGTGGGGCTATTCCCTAGAATGAACCAGTATTTCTTTAAGCATAAAAGCAGCCTCTAATTGATCTTTAAAAAAAAAAAAAAACAAACAAACCCAAAACCTTAGTCTACGAGAATATTAAGAACCATAATAGTTAACTTTGCAAGATTAACAACCTTATGTGCTATTACCCTTGTGGAAGGTCATGTGGAAGAATAAATGTGAAGGGGAGTGATCTCAGCAAGGTGGCCAAGGAAAGCCTGTCAAGAGACAATATTTAATACCTGAAGGTTGAGAACGAATCTGCCTCAAATCTTAGAATAGGGGGTAGGGGGTTGGGAAAGCATGAGCAAAGGTCCTGAGATGGAATATTAGGTTGAAAATAAAAGATGCCCACAAGTAGGTGCAGCCAAGTTGGATTTTTTTTTTTTTTTTTTTTTTTTTTTGAGACTGGATCTCACTACGTAACCTAGGGTGACAATATACTCATTCTATAGCTCAGGCTACCCTCAAACTCTGTGACCCTTCTGACTCAGCTTCCCAAGTATTGGGATTATAGGTATGTGACACAATGCCTAGCTTCAAACAGTGATAAGAAAAAGGGTTACTTTTTTTCATGTTAAAAATCTGAAGGGATTCAAGGATGATAATCATGTTTTGACTCACACAATCTGGGTGGGTCCACTTTCTACTAGTTTAAGGTTTTGCCAATCTCTAGGATGAAGAACTTACATGTGCCTCAAATTGGCAGTTAAAGGTTTTAGGCCATTTGTAGCTCAAAATACAGGGAGAAGCAGCAAGGAATGAAGGGCATACCTGGTTTTTATTGGAGTGGGTCTTAGGAAGAGCAGCACGTAAGGCCTGTATGACAGGGGACTGGATTATATCCACTAGCCAGTACTATCACATGGCTACTGGGGAGGCTAGAAAGTTTTTATGCTGGGCAGCCTAGTGTCCGGAGCTATCATTCTGAAAAAGACAGAGGAATTCTGGGGACTAACAGTCTCTGCTGTAGACTGGAAAGAGTATGGCATATGACAGGAAGAGGAGGCAGTAGGAAGGGTGAAAACAAGATGAAAAACAGGCAGGAGCCAGATTATGCCAGCTTGAACAACCATGTTAAGTGATTTGGGTACAGGGAACTGACTGGATGGTATTAACTGAGAACCGTAACTGAACACATCTGAAGTGCTTGTTCTAGGTGGTAGATGATGGCTGAGAGGGGCAAGAGCAGGCAGCATAGATACTGCCATGATCTAGAGAGGGATGCATAGCCCAGCAGGGTAGCCGTGTAGAGTTGATGAACTCCACAGAGTGGCTGAACTCAGAATACAGAATACATCTGTAAAGAGTTCATGGTATTGGCTGATAAGATGGACACAGACTGTGAGGAGGAACCACAGATATCCAATGTTATGCCTGAGCAGGTAAACAGCAGTACTATTTAGGGAGCCCAGGAAGACTAGGGGAGGAAAGAGCAAAATGGGGGATGAGTGAAGAGTCAGATGCTATTTTCTAGACACACTCCACTTGAAATGTTGTCCTTTTTATTTCTTGCCATGCTAACATGTCACTATTATACCCACTTTTAATTTTAAAGAAAGGCCTTTTTCTTCTACAATTATGTACACACTCATTCTTTCCTTAAGGTATTTTCCTCAGTTCAAGCTTAGAATTTTTCTGTGAGATGCACAAAACTTAACACATATTTCAAAGCCACAAACTCATTAGTATAAGCTTTTTCAATAATAATAGCAACATTTAAGTCTCCCCCTCCCAAACCCCAGCAAATGGGCATATTTGATCATTTGCAGGACAGGTCTTGCTATGTAGTCCAGGCTGGACTCCAACTCATGGAGAACTTCCTGCCTCAGTCTCCAGAGTGGTAGGATTAAGGAACTTGGCTTTGAAGATGAAGTTTTCCATGTAATAGGACACTTTAACATTTTATTGTTTGCAGGAAAGCTATCAACATAAGCCCTTAACATATGCTAACTCATCTAATACCTACTAAATATATTTTACAAATTTATGATAGATTTGATGTTACAGAAGTTAAAAACTTAAGTTCATTCAAAGCAAATCGTGTTCTTATGAAGACAACATTATCAGTGTATTTTTTTTTCCTAACACTCCTTTTCCACACATTTCTTTAAGAAAATTGTGTTCTGTCTTTCCTAGTAAAAACCAAGGGTAATACAGCTCTTAAATCAGACCTTTGCCCACTGGGAGCAATTCTTCAAATTTTAATTAAAAACTATGCTTTTAAAGTAAATATGGATAATAAAGTCTTAAAATTTTTCTGTATCTGTCAGAGTTAGATCAGAATACTTAACAGTATTACTATACACATATTAAGTGTATCCCCTTTTATTTCATCCTATGCTTCAAATCATTAAGTTGTAATTAAAAATTAAGAGCCAGATTAAGGTGTTCAACAATGCATTTGTACGCACATTCATTCAGATACATATACATATGCCTAGAGGCATATCCAGTCTTCTATTGTGCTACCTTATGGCAGTAGATGTTTACCTGAAAGGAATAGAAAGCAGAAGAGGCAGGAAGGAACTGTTGTGGGAGGGGACAAACAGGATAGTGTTGTTCCTCTTTGAATTTTCCTGAAGAAAACAAAAAGAAAAACAAAAAACCACCCCATTACCACAACGAGTTAGACTGTTTAACAACATGAATAATGAGGCAAAACATTTTCTACTGAGTACAGCTATACCTTAATAAATTTACGTATCTGCTGATATGTCAAAATACCTTACCTATAAAAGCACAAAGTTAATGTTTATTACACAGTAAACTTATTTTTCTTCTTGTTTTTGGTCATGATAAATTTAAACTATACTATAGTGATTTTTTTTTTCTGATGGGGGATTACTTTATAAAAGATACAACCAAGGAGAACAGAAATTTTATTTACTACAAATTAATAAATTTACATTAAAATTCTTATCACTCAGAAAGGATTAACAATACTCATGAAACTATTTTACAACACCAAGCATATGCTTTCTTTTACGTAAAAGGTTTAGTAATGATAAAAAAAAAAAGTAGTTTATGGCTATAGAAGGGAATAAAGGGAGATTTGTCATACTGCAAAGAAAACAAAATTTCACTTTCAGTGACAGCTACTGTTTTGGAATACAGACTCCCCAGCCTCAAGTTTCCAACACAGATATTAGAATTTGAAACGGTCCTGTATATGGGCGAGAACGAAGGTTTGCAAAGGGCGTGGGGAATGGAACAACATACAAGTCAGGTAAACTTAGCCCAGCTGGAATAAGTACTCAGAGCAGTGCTTTTAAAAACATGCCTGCGTTACTTCCTCTCAGCAGGTTTGGACCGCAGAAAACGACAAAGGAGGAAGAGCGAGCGAGCGAGCAGACGCTCTGCTTTCGGCAGAGGGAACTCACTACTCGGGAGGTACTGCGATGCGCCAGGGGTCTCGGAAGTGCGCGGCCGGCGGGCGGCTCCAGAGGGAGCAGAACGCAGCCAGCAGGTCCGCTGCAGGTGGAGGCCGTGGGGCCCGCGGCGAGGACGCGCGGAGGCGGGGTGTCCCACACAAACACAAACACGCTGGGCGTCCCCAGGTGGGCGGACCCACGCGGCCTCTCCATCCCGTCCCGTACTCGACGCCCGACTCCGACCCAGACCCGCTCCGACTCGACGCCAGAGTCCGGGGAGGACCTGCAGAGGCCCCGCTCTCCATAACGGCCTCATCGCAGCGCCGCGCCTCCCCGGAAGCCGGCGGGACGCACGGTGGAGCCCTGGGAGGGCGCCCCGGTGCGCCGCGCTCGTCCTCACCGTCGACCGACGCGCGAGAAGCGCTGCACCCACCCCTGGCCGCGTCCGCCAGGCGAGCGCTTCTCCCCACCTTCCGCCGCAGCCGCCTCGAGCGAAGCCGGAGCGACGGGGGTCACGGCGGGGGTCAGAGGGTAAAGGTCTTGCTCCCAGCAGCCTCCGCGGTGGATACGTCGCCATCTTGGATCCGCGGGACAAGAAAATTCATGCGGTGAGTTTTTGGCAAATTTTCGGAAGTCTGGCAGCGGGGCGCGCGGCGGGGGAGGCGGATTCAGGGTTCCCGCAAGGCGGGGGAATGCCTCGGGGCCAGTCCGGTCGTGCCCGGGGTCCGCGGGTAGCGTCCCGGCCCGCCGCTTCCCGTTGCTTTTGTCTCGGCTCCAATCGAGAGAGGGAGAGCGGAGCGGGCGGGGAGGGGGGTGGCGGTGCTGGAGGAGGGAGGGGGG